CACAACCGGAAGTGGACCCGGCAAGGGGTGGACAGGAAGTGCTGTTGTGTGGCCGGGTGGGAAGCGCTGGAAGCAGGGGCCGGACGGTTCCTTCTGTGCACACAGTGCAGAGGGAGGAGATTGGAGGTGGTGTGTGTGCGCGCGTAGGGAGTTGTGGGCGGGAGATGGAAGACAAACTCATCTACCAGCCTGTGGAGGAGGAGGAGGAGGAGAACAGGATGCAATCCCGTGGAGGGTTCACCCACTCTAGCAGAGAGGAAGAAAGGACCAAACCCTACCTGCAGAAAGTCCTCAGGCATTGCCTTTCAAAGTCTGCCTAAATTCCTATGAGAAGACACGTGTTTGCACCCAGAGTTTTGCATTGTGCGGGGCTGCATGGTCTCGCACCATTACTTAGGGTGGGATGTGTAGAGACTTGGGGCACTTGAAGTGTGTGGTGGGCCACACTAAAATGCCCACTCTAGTTTTCCCCAGCAGAGGGGACATGGGTGATCAGAGGCGTGTGAGCAAGAGAACTAAAGTTTCCCTCAGTCCCAGAGAGACTCAGGGTCCACGCAGGGTCTGAGGGACATGCACTGTGGATTGTACCCTACACATAAGGAGGGTGTGGGTCCTGGTAATGCCAGTGACCTGTGATTAGGTTTGCTTTTTGTGGCCGCCTGCCCGTCTTTCCCGGGAGGGGGAACCTGAAGTCAGCCCCTGACATAATCTGGGATGTTTTTAACTTCCTTAATAGCCCAGATTGACAAAGACCTCTATTGTATTCCTTATACTGTTTGTCTTCTATTTCTAGGGTCTCTTTGTATTCTGTTCCGATTGATGTCATTTTTTACCTGGGGTCCAGACATTCTGATATTCTTTTCATGCCTAGAGCCCACTGACCTATCCTCCCGCACCCAGGATTTGTGTATTCCTTTGAGGTTTCTAAATAGGGTCTTAACAGCACTGCATGTATCTGTGGTTATGTTGCTTATTCTTATATTTTCTGGTTGTGAGCCTAGCCTTGGACAGCTGAGCTATCCTCCAGCCCATGGTTCTTATTTATATGGCCAATGTAGACTGACTATAATTGTTAATTTTTACTGAAATTAATTTTTATGTATTAGTATTGACTCAGATCATGCTATGTTTATTCTGATGGTATTTCCTTGGAATTTCTTTCTTCCTTCTTTGTTTCTCTCTTTCTCCTTCCTTTCTCTTTTCTTTCATCCATTTATTCATTCTGGGTTTTATATATCCTAGCCTCTCCTTGGACTTTGTAACACCAATTTAATTCCTTCATCTGCTGGAATTAAAGTAGTGCACCACCATACCCAGCCCTGTGAAAAATTTCAAAATCTGTGACACTAAACCAGGCATAGTAAGAACCAAAGCTTCATAAATTGGGCTGGAGAGATGGCTCAGAGGTTAAGAGCACCGACTGCTCTTCCAGAGGTCCTGAGTTCAATTCCCAGCAACCACATGGTGGCTCACAACCATCCGTTATGCGATCTGGTGCCCTCTTCTGGTGTGCAGATATCATGGAAGCAGAATGTTGTATACATAATAAATAAATAAAATCTTTAAAAAATCATAAATTATCATTCACAGGTGTATGCACAAAACTGCAATAAATTAAACGATGTTGGGGTATTCTTTAACAGTAGAATCATGAAAGTAAAATGGGAAGTTAATTTGTTGGGACATGCAGAGGACCTCTTCCCATATTTGAAGATAACTTTTGAGATGCCTGTGTAAAATTAAATGGATGAAAATGCTCCTGTTCTAGAATTAGAAGCCAGTGTGTGTCACTTCTTCCCATCATCACAAGACTCAACAATATTTCATATATTAATGCAATGGGGCTTTGGAGAGGCTTGGCATCTTGGGCATTGTTTTGTCCTTTTCCCTAAGACTGCGAGGGAAGGAGGGAAATAATCTACTCTTCCCCTACACAGGAATGATTTGAATTGGATTCAAACTCAAGGAGAAAAGGCCACACATATTACTAGTTCAGATTTTTTTGTTGTTGTCTTTTGTTTATTTGGTTTTTTGAGATGGGGTTTTTTGGTGGCTTTCGAGGCTGTCCTGGAACTAGCTCTTGTAGACCAGGCTGGTCTTGAACTCACAGAGATCCGCCTGCCTCTGCCTCCCGAGTGTTGGCATTTAAGGCATCCTTAAACCAACAAATAGAGCAACCAACAGAAGCTAGTGGAGGCATGGACTTTGTTCTCTCCTGATGCCTCAGTGTGGTGCATAGACCTTCCAAATCCTTGATTTCAACCAGTGATACTGATTTTATACTTATGGCATCCAAAATACAAGAAAAAATTTTTATTAAGGTTTATCTCCTATTTTAAGATACCAAGTTTGTAGTAATGGAGTTAAAGCAGCCATAGAAATGCAGAAGAAGTACATTCAGTCCTTGGTGGAAACTGTAATGTAATTGGGAGCTGATTTAAGAACAACCAATATATGAGGCTGACCACATCAGTGGTTAGAGCACTGGCTGCTCTTGAAGTTGACCCAGATTCAGTTCCTAACACCCACATTGTGGCTCACACTTGTTTGTAACTCCAGTTCAAGGGGACCAGATAATGTCTTTTTGGTCCTCTTGGGGAGCCAGGAATGTAAGTGTGTAAAACACCCATATGCATGAACAAAAAGAGCAACCAATGTGAAGTCAGCCTAAGGGAAAGATAGAAAGATAGAAATCTAGCTGAACTGCTAGATCATACCGATGCTATAGCTGTATTGGTGATGCTATAGCTGTATTGGTGATGCTATAGCTGTATTGGTGATGCTATAGCTGTATTGGTGATCTAATTTTCCAAGCATATAAATGAACATTTCTCTAATGGTGTTAGTCTGAGGTGGGCTAGCTATTAATAGTTAAAGAGGCAGAGGTGGCACAAGCCTTTAGTCCCAGCACTTGGGAGGCAGCTGCAGGGGAATTTCTAAGTTCCAGAACAGCCAGTATTGTCACAAAGAGAAACTCGGTCTTGGAACCCCCCCCCCCAAAAAAAAAGAGAAGTTATGGAATGTCACTCATACTACAGTAGTGGCAGATCCAGTTTTGTGTTGGCTTTTGGTTTGGGTTGTTTCAGGTTGAAGCATGAGCCACTGGGTCTCATTAATTGGCATTTAGTTTTAATTACTTATTTTAAGATTATGTGTGTGTATGAATGTAAACGTGCACCTGAGTCCAGGTGCCTGCAGAGGGCAGAGACACCATATTCCCTGGAACTGGAGATACAGGCAGTTGTAAAGCTCCCTTGGGTGCTGGGAAGTGACCGTGGGTCCTTTGAAAGAACAGTATGCACTGGTAAACACTGAGCAATCTCTCCAGCCTCTAAAGATTCGTTTTCTGTGTATCTGTTGGTGTGTATATGTGCACACGTGTGTAGATGCCCCTAGAGGCTACAAGCAGATGTTAGATTCCCTGGAGCAGGAATCCGTGAGCAGCCGATGTGGATGGTGGGATCTGCTCTCCAGCTCTGGGACAGAGCAGTAAATGAGTTGAGTCATCTCTTCAGCCCTGGTATCTAGTTTTACAATGACCTGGCATGGCAGTGCACTCTTGTGATACCCATATACATTATGTGTAGGTACACATGAGGGAAAGTATGCCCAATAGGGGCATGCATGGAGGCCCGTTGCTGATGTTGACAACCATTGCTCTACCCCAATTCACTGAGCAGATCTCTCAGTGAAATACAGAGCTTACTGATATTGGTCGTCTCCATAGGCAGCTTGCTTTGGGGCTAGCCTGCCAGTCTTCTGGGACTGGAAGTGTAGGTGGGCCACCACGCCCACCCAGCATTTATATGATTTCTGGGGATCTGAACTATAGTCCTCACACTTGTGCAGCAAGCATTTTGACCAGTGACCCATCTCCCCAGGTCCCCTAACACTTAAAAAACAACCCCCCCCCCCGCCAGG